TATGACACCAGTTGTTTGTACAAGGACGCTGCAATGTTTATTCACAATAATCATAATATTGTTATTGCAGTAACTCCATCTACCATTCAACTTCAATTATTTCGGCCCGGTTCTCAAATTACAATGCTCCCTGAAGTGACATTGTCTATTAGAGAAAAAGTTGAATCAATTTTGCAGAGTGTGACCAAATCTTTCCACAAAAATATTGCTTTCAAAATGGGATTTCTTTGTGATGGAGAAGAGAATCAAATTTTAGGCAGAGAAATTGCTCACAATTTTGTTGAGGAAAGCATGTTGGGAAGTGGAAGCGAGATGACATGTCCTAAACATCAAATGGAGGGTTTCCATACAATTAATCCTGATTATTTGCTAAAATATTGGAAATAAAACCCATTTTCCAAGTGAAGAGATTGTGTTAATATTAAATGACTTATTCTATAGAAATATTTTGACCTATTTGATGCAATCATGTATTTTCTTATAATTGTACATAGGTTTGTTTTTCTGTGTTCTTGAAAATTATTTGAATTTTGTTTGCTTATCGAATAAAATAAAATATTATAAAATGAAACTCATTATATGGATTGCATTTTGTTTTAAGTCTATTCAAAATAAGATATAGAAGAAAGATTAATTCCTTATTATAATTTAACTGCTCAGATTTATATAACATTTAATTATGTTTACTTAGCAATACGATTATTATCTTTAAAAAATATAGGATGAGGATATCATACCCTTGTATGTGTAACTGCTAATATTTATTAATATTTTTTGTAAGGTTTAAAGTTTCGTTCAGGATCAATCACTGTTCGTTATCTTCATCCAGTACCTTAACATTATGGTAGAAAAGGAAATAAAACATATATCCTACAACTTCTTTTAAGAATTCCTTAAAATATCAAGTCATTGAGAAGTATTCTAGCCTTGGAACATTATAAAGTACTGACATTACCAAAGTCAACTCTTCAGACAGTAAAACCATTATCAAAGATTGATTTGACTTGAAAAATTAACATGCCTTATAGAGAGGAGTGTAATATAATCTCAATAAGACATATAAAGATTCGACTTTGAAACTTATTCAGGATACAATTACGATTGAGACAATGATATTTTTATTTTATGCAATGTTTTTATCAATGTACACATTTATTCTTTTATGCCTATCTTTCAAGAAAAATTTGCTTCATCTGAAGATATAATTTCGTAAGATTTTTTCTTGAAATAAATACACTTTGAATTTCCTGTTATCTTATTTAATATTGATGTATTTCCTGATTATAATTTACATTAATGTGGAACCTATATCGAAAAAGTCTTTGTCACAAGATTTTCAAACTTTTCAAAATGATAAATAAGTACTTGCTTATCAATCAGTTAAAAGCTCAGGACATGTTCCCTTGTTTTTAAATGTAGCACAACCTATGAAACTTGGAATGGTAATAAAATACTGCAACAACACATTTTCAGTTATTTTTAGGGGTACTTGTCAAGAACAGAATATGAAAAATCTCAATAATCCCCATTGAACATCGTCGTTTATTAATTAACTGAACAATATTGAATATTAAGCATTATTATATAGTCTATTTATAGTCCCTATATAATCTATACAAACGCAAACAGTTCATAACACTACATATTCACCGGATTTTAGGCCGTATTCACCGGAGGGTCAATGCGCGTGCAACGGCATTGTGACGTCACAATCAAAACATCGAACAACGTTGTAAACAATGGTTGCAACGGCCGCAGCAAGCTACGTATCTGAGCAGGAAAACAATTATTCAAACCTATTTCAGGATTATTTTTTAACATCTGGACGTCTTAGACATAGCGAAACTCGGAAAGGAAAACACAGAGGTTACAAACAGTAATTTGGAGATTTTTTTATTTTTAACAATGAACGATCGCAAATGAAAATGGTGTCGTCATACAGCCTTCAATGTCTTATCTATTCAAATCCCGACTATATAATAAAACAATTATGGACTCTTTTGGTGTTGAATATGGTTTGTTATTCACCAGAAAAATATCCATATTGACCTCGGCTTCGCCTCGGTCAATATGAATATTTTTCTAGTGAATAACAAACCATATTCAACACCAAAAGAGTCCATAATTGTATAATATTCCTCAAGAATAATTTCTTTTTTATTCAATTGACATAACGGATAAGTTCATATTTTAAAAAAAGGGCAAATGAACTCTATATTTAGTCAATTCTTCACCCAACATTTGTAAATATTTTTCAGACGTCTTTGTCACAATGTTTTCAAACTTTAATATAATGATGAACATACCCAAATGATTACAAAAAGTTATTAAATTATATACCTTTCACCTCTGACTAATGAAAGTTTATTTACCGATTTTAATATTCTTATCCTTTATGCTCTTGCAAGGGGTTTAATTAATATTAAATTACAATTTGGGGTTACTTTCAGATTTAAAACTTTTAATGCTTATGTAAACATTTTACTTTTTATTTAAAAAGATTATGTTTAATAGAAACATTGTAAAATAACATTAAGAATATTTATTGGGAGTTGAACTATTTTCAATCTCCCATGGTCATCACGTATTTAACATGTGCAGTAATTTGTGTTGATTATATAGAGCCGAAAGCGAGGCTACTGTGTCTCCCGATTTACTCCGATGATATTCAACAGAAAACATACATAAACATCCTCCACAAATAGTTCATGTCATTTTCTCCTGAATTGATCTAATTTTCATAATTTGAAATGTAAGTAAATGTAATGATAAAGTATAAATCTTATTTTGAATATTAGATTTCGTTAAAAGTAAAACTTAATTATAAAGAACCTCAAAAGTTTTTCGTAATGAAACTCATTTTCAGTGTAGCGTCATACACTGAAAGAGATACGAACGACAACTCTACATACTGACGGCAAGCGATAAATCTTGTCTTCTCGACGCCCGACGGTCCCGGATTTTTAGCAATATATTTTTTACCGGTGCAGAGATTTTATTCAAACTTTTCGTTAACATTTCCTTGATTTAAATTAATTCATTAATGCATTAAAACTTTAGGAAATATGCGTATTTATTAGTAAATCAGCAGTATCACCTTCCAACTTACAGAACTCACCTCAACGAATGCTGTCTTTAAATTAGGCACAGTCACACAATTAACAACAAAAAGTGTACATTTTCATAAATAAAAATGAAAATATTTAAGCAATTTTGATCTGATACTTTGAAATAGACCTACATAAAAAAATTAAAATTTCATGAAAATGAAATTAAAATCCAGCATCTGAAGCAAATTTGAGAGTTTGCATCTCTTGATGCAACATTTGTGCAAGTTCATTTATATAATGTTATGTAAGCCTTATAGTTTTTGGTAATAGACTTGCACCCATAACTTTTACCTGGTCTATTATCTGAAAAATGTATGTCGAATTCAGCATCTGAAGCAAGTCCATTAATTTTGCAAGATGTTTCGTTCATGCAAGTTTGCTCATTATAGGGCCCATAGTTAATTGGAAATGAAACATGCGCATGCATCAAAAACTATCATTTTCACTCATCCACAAAAAGTAGGTCAGATTCAGCATCCAAAGCAAGCCTGGTAGTATGCATCCTTATATGTATCATCCATGCAAGTTTGGTCAACATAGGGCTTATAGTTACTTGGAAATTAATCATGCACCAAAAACTTAAAAATGTTCACTCAACTGGAAAATGTAGGTCAGATTCAGCATTCGAAGCAAGCCCGGTAGTATGCATCCTTAGATGTATCATCCATGCAAGTTTAGTCAACATAGGGCTTACAGTTACTTGGAAATGAAACCTGCACCAAAAACTTTAACCTGTTCACTCAACCAGAAAATGTAGGTCAGATTCAGCATCCGAAGCAGGCCCGGTAGTGTAAATCCTTAGATGTATCATCCATGCAAGTTTGGTCAACATAGGGCTTACAGTTACTCGGAAATGAAACCTGCACCAAAAACTTTAACCTGTTCACTCAACCGGAAAATGTAGGTCAGATTTAGCATCTGAAGCAAGCCTGGTAGTATCCATCCTTAGATGTATCATCCAGGCAAGTTTGGTCAACATAGGGCTTATAGTTACTTGGGATTGAAACCTACACCAAAAACTGCACCAAAAATGTTAACCTGCTCCAAAAACAATAACCTGGTCATTCCTTTGCTGAAATTGCAGCATCTGAAACTTTGACTGGTACAATGAAACACACTAGAACCATCTTCCATGCATGTCTAATCCATATAGGACATAGAAGTAGTTAAAAAGAAAACTGCTCCAAAAAACTTAAACTTAACCTGGGACGCCGACGCCGACACCGACGCCGAGGGTATTACATAAGCTCCCCCAACATCGTTGAGGTGAGCTAAAAATTATAAACATTGTCTACGACTTTTTTGGACAACCCTCTACTCTTAAAAATAACTTTGGTTAGCTGTCTCAAGATATTCTTTTTGTAATAATATACATTTATTGACTGAGTTCAAGGGCCCAAGAACCAAATTGTCTGCCTGAGGCCAGTATGGTTCGAGGGTCGACAAAACGCATTTTGTCCGAGAACCAAGTCAATAAATAAATCAATCAATCATTTAATTTTTTAAATCATGCATTTTGTTCTTTCTTCCATTGAGGTAACCTCAGATCCGTCAGTGTTGAACACCAAAGAATGAATACATGTATGAGATTAAGCTCCGCCCATTCTGTGATGTAAGTGGTCCAACATCTCACTCAGCAATCCAACATCGATTTTTTTGCCCGCTCAAGAAAACATTAGATATGTTGGACTTTTTTTGTATAGATTGGTATAAGAATAATTTTTTAAACGTATAACAATATGTATAGTAATATGTTAGGATAAATTTATTTTTTTACAGCTGTATCTTGATACATGTTGTACTGTATGACCATATCGTGATATGTATAGTATCATTAGGTACCTTGCAATACTTGGGCCTAGAAATTATAATGAAATGATCAATAAATCGTTAAATACTAGAAATTTATTACAATTCATACATGGTTCACAAATTTGATTTACTTGATTAAACATTTATGACAGTTATTTGTTCAGTCAGGAATTTATCAAAATGTCACTAATGACTACGATCTCAGTGATGCCTGTGATCAGGTTGTCTAGGTCTGGGTGCTGATTTGATGATATCGTCAACACGTAGGATCATTTCGGCGGCCTCGGACGCGTTCATTAAGACTTGGCGCTTGACCGGGAAGGATTCTGTGATTCCTAACTTCTCCATGTCACCCACCTCACCCTCTACCATATCTACAGGAACATACACAAAAATCAAATTAAGAAATCTATAGTCTCAAGTTAGGGTCACGAGAACTTAAGAATTTAGAAGTAATTTAACCTTTATATTCTTAAAATTTGAAATCAAATTTTGCTTCTGTTGTTTCCAATTTTCAAAGAGGAAACCATGTAATTGCACTATATATTCATTATGATGCAATTTTTCTTTTGTATTTATTTACTACCCCCCCCCCCCCCCCCACACTTCTTAAATAATAATCTCATTTATCTGAAAAAATAAATCTTGTTCAATAGCTAAATAAATGTCACCCATAGGCTACCTTTAATCTTCACTTACTTAGTCCCATGGTGTGTTTTCCTGCTGTGTGAATTGCCCTCAGTTCTGAGATGAGCAGCTGAGCACTGTCATATCCTGCATTGTCTGCTATCGTGGTAGGAAGCTGAAAGTTACATAATCAACATGATAAAATAGAAATTTAGTGTGCTTATACAACAAGATAACAAAATGGTCATCAATGAAGTCAAACATTTACATGTTTATGATTAGATTACAATTTTTTTTTAGCTTAATATTACTGAAACTTAATAGGGGAGCTTACAAAATCAATAAATACAGAGCTGAATTTCTGAATCTCAAACGCAGATATCCTGAATATATAAACATGTCTATAGCAAACATACATAGCGATATGATCATCTTTCCCCAAGACTTTATTCAATGTTGTTAACTTTACAGATATAAAAATTATGCTTATATCAAAGCAAAATTGCCCATCCCTGGCACTTCTTTAAAATGCATGTTCCAATTTCTCACTTTCATGATTTTAAACCTTATCTCAAACCCTGGAATATCTTGAAAGTTTTTTTTTTTCACTGTCCAACTGAGTATTAGATAATTAGTTTGAATTAATTATTAGAGACCTGTATGAGATGAAAATTGAAATTTATGTACCATTCTTGTTGCCTTGGCAAAAGATTCCATGGGAACGGCTTCCTTCCCAGGGGTCTTAGCAGCTAACTTAGAGACGGCATCTGCCATTAACATTTCTGAACTGCCTGTAAAACAAAGATGTTTCATAGTAAAGCACACTTTCTTTCATAAAGGGTGACAAATGACAAATACATTATTTTTTGTTAGTTGAAAGAAGTAGATAAAAAATTAAAGTAAAGAGAATACAGAAATTTTATTTTCTGACAGTGTAAGCCTTTTAGTGAAAGATCTCTAAACAGTCTGTTTCAAAAAGAGTTTTGTGAATAAAACTTTCCCATAATTGATTACAGTAACAGTTAATGTCACAAAACTTGAAAACTATAATTTGTAATTTTTCATCTTTGATTACAGAATTGCATGTGCATCCTACATTTATGGTTAATAAATACAATGAAAAATATATATTCCAACAATTCCACAATTTTCATGTGTTATCCAAAACCAATGATGACCTTTTATATGGCTATTAATAGGGAAAGTTCACAATTTTATGTGACATAGAAAGACACTGCAGTACTTCAGTCCCACTAACCTCCTCCAAACACTGTTTTGGTTTCCTTGACAGTCTGCGTTAGAACACAAAGGGCGTCATGTAGAGACCGCTCAGCCTCATCAAGGATCTGTTTAGTGGCACCTCGTAGAACAATGGTACAGGCCTCACCCATCTCCACACCTAAATAACATCAATCTAATCTCAAAAGTGCACTAAAATAATCATCATGAAGTTCTAAAATACTGTACTAAGGAATCATTAGACTTTGAGATGGCTCTTTATTTTGTGGATTTTGTTATTACCTTGCATCTACATGTATCAATTCACATCCTCAAAAATTTGAATTTTATGAGTCATCTCTTTTTTTAAAGATATGTAAGAATAAAATAAGGTCCCTCGAACCTGCAATTTTAGGCAATCTTTGACAATTACCCTTTGTACATTTTACTGATTCCACAGTATTTCAGACTCATTTGAAATAAATTAAAACTCTTTAAGAATTCTCTTCGGAAACACTGGATGACTTTGTGAATGTAATACCTTTTAATAATAATCTCACATGAGAACTTGATCAACTTGTCCTTTCCTATCATCATTTCCTCTATCGGTTTACACTTGCCCAGTCTAACGTGGTCGGGAGAGTCAAACGTGGACGCAATCTCACCACCTACAAATACACGCATATGTTTTCTGAACTCGTACTTTTAATTCATTATGCGAATTTTTATTAAGCTTCTCGTTTTTTCCAACTGTGTACTGTTCAAAAACTCATGGGCAATAATGCTCATGTAAAGATCACACTTTCCTTGCTCTTATTGAGACGATCCAGTGTCCTTTTTTTCTGTATTCCTTAGATTTGCTTTCAACTTAATATAATAATGTTCAGGTCTTTTTCATCATCTTTTTAATATTAATACATGGGCAAATAATTTATAAATAACCCCCCCCCCCGCCACACACACACTGTTCCTTTGGAAGTTCTCTTGATCTAAACTGTCTGGGGATATTTGTATCACAAAAAATATAATAAAATTTAATCTGCATGAAGAGAAAATGATTGCATATTAATTTCCTTAATCACTGCTAAATGCCAGACAAATTGAGACATTCTTTGATCAAAGAAGATCACATAGGCCTTGGGCTCAGGTGAGAAACAGAACAGTGCAGTCTTACATATGGTAAACATGATCCAAAGAATTATTCCTGTCCAACAAATGTGCAGAGACTACATACCTGTAACTAATGCTAGCCTCTCAATTTCCTCAAAGTCAGCATGTTCAATGACCATCACACCTGCATCCGCAAACAGCTGTTCTGGGTAGCTATAAATTAATTGCCTGTAAGGATGAAAGCTAATTAAGAAAATAATTTGAATCTGAAGTTTGACAACTTCTTCACCAAATACAATCCTTGTGTATAATACTTTAATAAATCATTCTTTAAAAAATAAAGAGATATCTAAAATGATGCAGTACTTAGCTATTGATGAACACAATCTTGTTTACTTTATTAATCTTCTCCTTTTCAGACAGTTTTAATTCTGCTACCTTGGAAACGGCATCTACTCTCACTTTGCTTCCAAACACCTTCAAAGTTTTAATATACAGACCCTGAGACGCGCTACTACCCCAAAAATGCGTGTGACTTTCGTGCGTTTTCCCTTTCGTGCAAACCGTGTAGCGTATCGTGTAATCCGTGCAGCGTTTCGTGCAAACCGTGTAGCGTTTCGTGTAAACCGTGGAGCGTTTCGTGTAAGCTCCTAAGCGTTTCGTGCAAACCGTGTAGCGAGCGTGCGAAAAGCGTGTGAGAAACGTTCGACTTTCGTGTAAGAACCGTGTGAGAAACGTGTGACTTTCGTGCAAGAATCGTGTAAGATTTATTCGGAAGTCATTTCATTTTAGATATGGCTATCGATGTGTCAGGATGTCAAATAGTATTATAATTTAGGGTGGGGCCAAAATGGCCGACCAAAGTTTTACATAGGAATATATAGGAAAAATCTTTAAAAATCTTCTTCTGAAGAACTACTGGGCCAGGAAAGATGAAACTCATGTGGAATCATCCTCAGGTAGTGTAGATTCAAATTTGTTCAAATCATGACCCCCAGGGCTAGGGTGGGGCCAAAATGGCCAACCAAAGTTTTACATAGGAATATATTGGAAAAATCTTTTAAAAATCTTCTTCTTAACAATCATTGAGAAAGGAAATATGAAACTTAAATGAAACTAGAGCCGAGCTCGTTGCAAAGCAACGAATAGGTCTTCCGTTGGAGCTACGGAATGGAAGACGTAACCTTGAGTCTAGGTCAAACAATTCTAAAGTTATAAATAAATAAGCAACCTAGAGGCTTGTTAAGGAAGCAACTTACAATGTTTATACAGGAAAAAGACTGTAAAGGAATGTAATGTGCATGACCTTGAACTTTCTAAATGACCTTGCGACAAGCAATGACAAACTCTGTTATAAAAATACATAATCTGTGTATTACCGACTGGAAAAGTTCCCGTATGTTTTTTTTTTTTTTTTTAGATATTCCTTTAGTCCACATATCTACCCAAAACCACAGGCCTTTAGATCGCTTAGAAAAAAAATTGAGATGTTGAAAAAAAAAATAAAGGTATGGAACTCTTTTCATGGGGTACCTACTTTCGCCAATAAAATTCTTTTAAATCAAATGCTTTACAATTTTACTTTCTATCCACATCTGTTCAAATATAAACAATTTTCATTACTACCAAAGTTCATTCCGTAACTCCTTATACTTCTCGAGATATTCTGAAATCAATTCCCAAATTGACAATAATTTTTTTACTCGACATCAGCTTGGGCCTTCACTAATTGTAAAGCGGTGACGACGGGACAAATTTTCCCCGGACTTTATTCTAAACTCAATGAATATTTGCCCATTTGCATTCAAGCTTCACAAAGTTTTTCTTTAATTTGATCATATGGTGTAACTAATTCATAAACAACATTTTAGCGGTGTAATTGTTTTGAAAATCGAAAGGTATAAATGCATTCCGGGAAAAATTCGTTCTACCATGGCTTCATTTACATTTATAATCAACATGGCGGTAGTTGTTGATGTAGACGTTTTCAAATTAATTTTTCGCGAAAGGAATATTATTACATACTTAACGTTACAATCTGGAGTAAGAAATTAACTTTAAATTGTTGAAAGATTTTGCAAATACTATGCAACTCTTCGCCGCACTTCAAACACCGTCTGTTTACATGTGAATGACCAGGGGCCCAAGCTAATGTCGAGTAAAAGAAAGTAGGTCAATTTTGAAATTGATTTCAGAGTATCTCAAGAAATATATGGAATTTCGGAATGAGCTTTGGTAGAATTGAAGAATGTTTATCTATGAATAAATTTAAATAGAAAGTAGAATTTTAGAGCATTAGAATAAAAAATATTTTATTAGCGAAATTAGGTACCCAGTGTAAGAGTTCAGTACCTTTATTTTTTTTTTACACACACACAATTTTTTTAAGCGATCCAAAGGCCTGTGCCCAAAACATCTCATCTTAAGTGACCTTGAACTTAAGTGAAGGTCAGGCCCCACCCTGTATTATATGAGCAATGTTTCACTGGTACAATTACGATTGAGAATTTAAAGTTTCTCTGTCAGTAACAGTGACTTGTCCAAAAGACTGGATCTGTTCAGTCAAATTTTTTCTGAACATATATCGAATCCAAAGAATTTATTAGGTTCAAAACTATGATTTACATAATGATTTTACTAGAAATATATCTATAGGACATGAATGCCCCGCCCAATGTATATTAGTAAATAATGCAACATTAAACCTGTATAAGTGTATTAACGTTTGTTGAGAATATCTCTTATAGTATCTTAAAAATTGAAATCTTAAATATGGATATAGATTATAAAAATCCGTTCATATAATGCATATAGGCATAAACTTACATAAAAATATCTCAAATGGTTTCTTAAATACTAAGCAAATTGCAAATTTAAGACAGGTGGTGTCAAGGTCACAGGAAAGTGAAGATCAAAATCATCTGAAAATGTATCAGTATACTAAAGTTTGATAAAAACGTCTTGAATGGATTCTTCAAAACCGAAGGTCGCCCGTGAGGCACAGTGGTTAGAGCATCTAATCCACACTAAGGTTTGGATAGCTCTCATAAGTGTGTATTAGTATATGAAGTTGAGTAAAAATATATATTTTTCTTCAGAACTGTCTGAGCTAAATACTAACTGAATTACAGGGACGTAGCATCCGGGGGGGGGGGGGGCACTTTTTTCATCAACATTACCTTTAGTATAGGAAATGTTAATTGAAAGGATGGTTGGCCTTCCCACTTTTTACCATAGTATAGTGATATGAAGGAATTGTAGGAAAATGTAGTAAAAGTAGTAACAAAATTTTGGAAGTGAAGATAACTTGCCTTTAAAAAAGTTGGCCACTACCTCCCCCCCCCCTCCCCCCCCCCCCCCCCTAAATAGGATTTTCGAGTTTGGGAAACTTTTTAACTTTTTTTTTTTGGTTTGCTTGTCAAATTTTTTCAGGCAAGTAAAAAAAAAGTTTTATATGTTTCTGACTTAAACACTAACTTGAGAATAGTTAGGTTAAGGTCAAAGGAAAGGTAAAACAAAATGTTGATGCAGTTACAAACGTGTAGCCTATAGTACGTATCGGCACATATCAGTACATACATGTATCGGCACATGAAGTTTGATGATACTATCTTGAATGGTCTCTTTAGACAGATTTAATAAAGGTGAGATTAAGTTCAAAGGAAAGGTCAAAGTCAAAATATGTCGATGCACAAAAATAGCTCTCATCAATGTTAATCAGCATAGGACGTTTACAAGTTTAGCTTTTAAAAAAAGCTTAGAGAGTCAGCCAGTGGATTTTTCTTCTCTGTGATAATGTTTTGAAGAATACATGTACTACGGTACTGAAAAAAAATGCATTACACATGTATTGCATGTTTTGTCTCTTAATACAAAGATAGATATAATGTAATAAAAATTTAAGTTCAATTTCAGAAAACATAATTCCATGAAATTATAAACCAATCTCATCGGATTTAAAGGAGTTTAATTCATGGGGATGGGGGACATGGCAGTTTTAACAATCCTGCGGCCTCGTAAGCTTCACTATCACCCTGTTAGAGTTTGTCATGTTTCAGGTTGAATCACTCAGTCCTACTGTGTTTAGATAACAAAGACACCCTTGCCCCTGCGATAAAGTAACAACCATACCGAACCCTTAATTGAGAATATCAATAAAGGGCCACTTAAATACATGTAACCAGTACGTACATTTTCTAGTACTTTTAGATTAGAAAAATTTCATTCAAACAGGTAACATGTAAGCTTTGTTTAGCCTAATCTTTGCATACTTTAAGACATGGGTATTTTTTATTTCAGTATGTTAACTATTACTACTTTAATTTGACCTAGCTAGCTGAATTTAAACTTGAAACTTAAAAAAAGTAGAATTGAATCAAAATAAACAACACAATGGCTGGTAAACAAATTCATTTATCAAACCTTCATGACGTAAGAAAACTATAAATCCCTAAATCTGATTGCCACAACATAAATGGTCTCATTCACTAAACAAGCTAATTCAGAGAATCTGAATACCACTTAGGAAAAAAAAGTGCGCAGATCTTAAAAAAAGAAAAAGAAAAAAAGGGGGGGGGGTCACGTACGTGGCCATATGGTGGATCGAGTTATGGTATAAAATTTGATTGTAAAACGCAAAAATGTTTCTTTTGATAAAAACTGGAAATGAAAGTTTTACACACACTCACACAGAGATTTGAATTTATTACCTTGAACTTTGAACGTCAAAATAAATCTATAGGTGTCTTCCTTTCAGCATAGGTTGTTGTGGTATAAAATTTCATTTCTAAAGCTCAAGGGCTTATTGCACGGACACAAAGGTGTTCAAACAGACATAAGTTTGATTTCATTACCTTGACCATTGACATTTTTACCTCAAAATCAAGAAGGGTTTTCCATAGTGAGTTGTGTAAAATTTCACTACAAAAGCTCAAGGTCTTCTCGAAATATTTCACAGAATTGAAAGTGTTACAGACAGAACTACAGACAGGGGCACGGAAGAACAGGGAGACTGAAACAAAATAATAACCTCCACTTCCAGCGGGGAACGTTACAAACGAGCAAGCTAGCCAGTTGTGTCTTTTCTCGAAGTATCCGTTGTATGATTTAACAAGTCAGTTCGCTAAATTGCATCGGGATCGAAATGATATAATGAAAACGAAAGTAAAACTAATAAAAACTTAATAACTTCAAAACCTCTATTAAACAATGTTTATGTCGTAGA